GTCTATGGTAGTCTATGTAGTTAATTCTATGGTTCTATGATTTCATCCATTGTTCCTTTTCCTACTACAAATATTAATGGAGTAGAAAAGAACAGATGTAATAGATAGGACAAAGCCTTGTCAGATAAGCATTCTGTTTACACACTGGCCAAGATGATGATGACATTTATTTATATCCCATTTATTCCAGTCTGAGGCTTACAGAAGATTTATAGATATACATATATCAATCACAAATACAAATTATAATTATATCATCAATTAAATTAAAATCAGTTTAAAAACGTAACTATGATTACATAAAGACATCAGATGATCTTTAATCTTGGGACCTAAGCAGGCCCAGCCCTGGTTATTACTTGGATGAATACCAGATGCTATAGTCTATGTTACAGGGAAGGAACTGGAAAAATAACTTCTTGAGTATTCCATGCCAAAGATAACCATATGAGATCACCACAAATCATCAGACAACTTGATTTAGAGACCACAGATTCAAATGTATGTATATTAAAAGCAATAACTAAATAAACACTAGTAAACACTCTAGCACAGTTTTGCAAGACCCACCCAGTTATCTTAAGCGGCCAGTTTTCAAATGCCTTCTGTATTGTTTAAAAGGTCTTAACCCACCTGGAGAGAGAAAGCGAAGTGTCAGTCTAAACTGTCTGGGAAGGGAGAGTTCCAGAGGCTTGGAGCAGATGGCTCTGACAGTTTGCAAGTAATGTAAAAGCTTCCTCTTGCTGATTTCCACAGCCACTGACTTTCATAACATAATATAAATATGCATTTTGGTGCACTGTCTTCTGAAATGAAAAAGGATACTTGTTGTCCAGAAGTGGATATCTTTTGCCTAGAATTTGTATTTGCATCTATTTATATTTAGTTATAATAGAATACAATTGCAAATGCAACTTGTAGGGCAAATAATAGCCACATCCGTAACTGTAATATCAAGCAGACTATGGATCAATCCTTAATTGGCCCTTAATTTCAGAAGACAGATGCACAAATGCTTGAACTATGGCCTCCTTGCAGACAGACTTCATCCTCTGAACTCAGGTCAGTGCTGGCAGAATGTACGATGCAAATGTCCTCGTTCCATCTTATAATTATCTGAACTTCAACAACCTTGAGAGCTTTTTTTACCTTCCAAAAAGACAAACTGTTCCATTTTGACCTTGCTTCATTCTGATTGGTTTTTGTTTTTGCATTATACTCTGAAGTTAATGAGCTAAAGGAAGACATAAAGCACTGCTTAAGCTTCTTAAATTGCCTTCGCGTCCACCTCATGTTAAATTAGCATATATAACTGATGCACACAGAACAGTTAGATATATTAAGCTATAGGTGATGTGTTTGTTTTCTAGTCCATTCAGGTTCCTTAATATTTTTTTTGCTTGAACGACTTTCTATTATGTTAAATCTGAAGCTATAGCATTTGTAATGAAAAGCACGCCAGCAAAAGGTCCCTTGAGGCTGAAGGATATGTTCTCCACGGACAGGCAATGGTTTGTCACATCAAGGGCAGATACTGTTTCCCTAATCTACTGCTCTGCCTCGTATGGTAGACAAAGGGACGTCGTCCTATTATACTTACCTCTCATAAACAGGGCCAACCCTAGCATTAGACAAAATGAAAGAACTGCCTTAGGAAGCCAATGATGGGGAAGGAGAGGAGCAAAGGTGTCTCAGATGGTGCAAATAGAATAGCTCTATGTCATCTTGATACCCTTCCCCCTCCCTAGATTCTCCTCTTTGTTTTGTAGTAGCCTTTTATCCTACCCTACTTCTCTTTTCTCCTTTGTAGACCTAAAGAAAACCATGATGTCACCATGATGGAAATAATTCACTTGTATACTCAGTTGGATTGTCAATGATAGTTCAGCACACCATCCCTACATACAAGTCCAGAGCACTATAAAAAGGTCCATCCCACCCAGAATCCCCATTCCCATTATAGCTAGAAAGTCCTTAAATAAGGCATGGACTACTAGCGGCCATTATCTATTGCTCTCCAACAATGGATATCCAGAGACTGAAATGGAGGTTCTAGATAAGAGCCCTTCCAAACACACCAAAATCCTGAGAGGAACCAAAATCCCAGTTCCTCTCAGGATGGAGGCCACACAGCTGGCCCAAATACCAGGATTTTGCAGGGATGAGGGGTTGCTAGATACTCTTCTGTGCTGATCCAAGATCAGCAGGGGTGGGCAAGGGCACTGCCAGCCTCCCCCTCCCCATACTTCTCCCTCAATTTACCAGAGGAAGACCCTGATAGAGACTTTCTTCTTCCCTCTCCTCCCATGGAAGAGCTGACACTGGGATGAGTAGGGGAGATTCCTTCTCCAAGGCTATCTGTTGGCTGTTGGAGGGAGAAGAGAGAGCTTTCCTCCGGTAGATTGAGGGGGAAATGGTGGACAGGGAGGGGAGGCTGGCAGTACCATCTCTGTTTTTCAGGCTGCCTGAGCCTGGGAAGAAGGAATTGCTATGGAAACAGACACTGGGTTCATGGAAGGCACAAGCTCCATACCTCCAAAGGCTGCATATCTTCAGGAAATGCCTGGATCTTTAGAGGTATTTTTTAAACTTGAATTAAACCAAGTAAATTTGGTTTATTCCTGTTTTAAGAAGATTAGCCTGAAATGCCATCTGGATAGCCTAAATCATTTCCCAGCTTGTGCGTATATGGGACCTAAGTGTCCTTATTCATCCTCTGGTAGAAATAACTTTGAACTAACATGGTGTAATGTATGACTACCAGAGTCTGAATCTCCAGCCATGGAAGCCTGATAGGTGACTTTGGGCTCCTAGCTTGTGTGTAGATGGAGACCCAGCTTGTGCGTAGATGGGACCTAAGTGTCATTATTCATCCTATGGTAGAAATAACTTTGAGTTAACATGGTGTAATGTTTGACTACCAGAGTCTGAATCTCTGCTTGGCCATGGAAGCCTGATAGGTGACTTGCCAAAATACATATTCCCCTCTCCCTGCCACTGCAGCCGCTTGCAATGCTCTCTTTTTTTACATTTACAACTCAGTGTTAAACTGTTGCTAGCAATTCAGCAAATGTAACCAAGCTTAAGGGCTTATTTATTGACTGCTATCTTTCAGAGCCAATTTTGTCCCTTGTTACCAAGAACATCTTAATCTTTTTAAAGGCAAGTTAAAGCTAAAGCACAACCCAGAATCCTGTCATTTAGCATTCAGGCTTTCTTTCACCCTTTTCCAAACGAAATTGGACAGTCAAATCTGCTGGTTTGCTGTTGGACAGTTTTGTCCATCTCGAAATTAATGCCACATTAAAACTAATAATATTAAATATTGATATACCATGATATCCTATCACAATGTCTTTAATGTAGGCTTTGGGTTGAAAAAAACTATTCTCACTTAAAGTTCTAAGTCCCCCAAAAGGTTATTTGCTGCTACAATTGCATTTATAACAGTATATCCTTATTTTCGTTTGATTTGGTTTAGTAACTTTAAGAATTAAGATGCTACAAGCTGCTGGACTGTGATACAGACATTTAAGCAGTGAGGCCATGCATCACTGCAAATGAGAAAGTTACTTAAAGTAGTGAGAGTTATATGACAAAAGAAATCTGCAGCCTAATGGCATAACATTTTAGAGACCATGCATCAGTGATCATGAACCAACAGCATTGCCTTCTAATTTGCTCCTGAGATCAGTTCAAGGTATTTGATTTCACTGAGTCCCTCTTTCAATGCCATCAACAATGCAACCTTTCTGGAACAGTTCTCCGGCATTGCATTTGGGGGCACTGTTCTACACTGGTTCTGTTCCTTTTGGCAGGGATGAACCCAGCTTTGCTGGAGGATGCTGATTCACTCTCCTGCCCATTAACCTGTAGGGCAGTGGTTTTCAACCTGTGAGTACCCAGGCAGGCCCGTAGCCAGGATTTCGATTCGGGGGAGGGGCTGAGTTTGTTTCGGGGGGGGGGGCTGAGTCTGAGTGAAAGAGGGTCTACCCTAGCAAACCTTTTGTATCGTTACCCCAATACCCCCATGCATATGGGATATATTGAGCATGGTGATCAAATCATGATATGAATAAACATAACAGTTTAAATAATGCACCAGTAAGGCCTTTTTGCGAACCACCATGAGAATTTTGGGGGGGGGGGGCTGAAGCCCCTCAAGCCCCCCCCCCCCCCGCTACATGTTCTTAACCCAGGTGTTTTGGCCTACAACTCCCAGTAATCCCAGCCAGTTTACCAGCTGTTAGGATTTCTGGGAGCTGAAGGCCAAAACATCTGGGGACCCAAAGGTTGAGAACCACTGCTCTAGGGTCTTTTGGGTTTTGGTTCTGTCTCCCATTCTGTTTAATATCTACATGAAACTTCTGGCAGAATTCATCAGGAGTTTTTGGGTTTTGGTATTACCAGTAAGCTGAAAACTTTGAATGCATAAAAAAAAACCCACCCCCACCACCTAACTCCAAGGAAGGTCTTTCTGTATTAAAGCAGTATGTGCTATCAGTAATAAACCAGATGAACTGAAACTTAAACTGGAAAAGACAGTGATGCTCCCTTTCAATTAGAAGATGTGCATAGCTAAAATTAGTGTGCTAGTACCATTGATTGCTCCTGTAGTTGTCAAATCTGGCTTTGGTAACACATTCCTTGATTACATCCTGCTTGGATTACTGTAACACACTGTATGCATTATTATCTTTGAATTTCTTTGAATACAGAATCACAGTTTCTATACATGGCAACAAACAGTTTCCTGTTCTCAAATTCACATAGGTGGGAGTTAAATCCAGTTCTTTCTCTTCCTCTGAGTTCACAGCAATGGGAGTTGGGATGGAGGGAAGGTAGGCTATCTGCTTGTGGCCTAGGCACGAAGGATGTCTGCTTACAACCACCACTCCACCTGGTGTGCTACATCATGCATATGAGTGAAATCTGAAGCAAAATATTTAATTTAAGAACTCTAATAGCTTAGTGTCTGCTGTTTTTTTGTCTCCCTGCAGGAAGAACTCAAAAGACTACAGCATACCTTGGAGCAAATTAGTGATGGAAAATATTTACTTGAAAAGTAAGTCATTACAGTTTTTTATTTCTATTTTTAAAAAAATGCTTGCATGGATTTTAATAAACATATCAAGCTTTATTTGATTTAGCCAATGTATTACTCAACTAAATCTTGGACTGAACAACCAACAAAAGAGGGGTGAATTTTTGAAGTGGTAAGTGTTGAAGGAGTTAAATGGATTCCTTTAGTGCATTGCTAACGCAATTTCAAATAAACGTATCTCCATGCAATCTATACATTTTAACTTATTTGATAGACTTGTTTTCTTTTGAAAAACACGACATCCAAAAATTGTGCTAAGTAAAGTACGAGATAGATATCTATCTCAGGAATCTTATAATCTATGAACCAATATGGGGAAAAAAACAAGGAGAAAGAAGTGAAATGAAGGGGGAGACTTCCGGTGGGGCGGCATGGCGGCAGGAGCACCTCTCTGAAGCTCCTCGGAGAGGAACCACGTACAGCGATCGGGTCGAGCCTGTAGCTCCCCTCCTCAGTCGGATTGAGTACTGAGGGGACGCGAAACCGGTCAGGACCACCCGACGACCCTAGAAGTCCCTATCCCCTCAAGGGTGGGGGCAGAAAGGGTCCGGGAGAGGACCGCCGGTAGCGGATCGCTCCGTGGGAAGCAGGGGAAACCCCGCAAGGACTGCTGTCTACCCCTCATTTAACGAAGAAATTAAATACAAGAATAATTCCCCTAACAACAGGGGTAAGTAACAAGAATTTTGTGTGAACTGACTCTGCTACGGATGAATCAGACGGAAATAAGGAGATAAGAAATAAGAAAATATAAACAAGAAGGGGATTTCACCCCTAAGAACTGGAATTGGACGGGATTGAAAATCAATTCCATCACAAGAATTAATTTGATTTGAAATTTGAAATTTGAAAGGGAGTGAACGGGACAGCCGGCAGTGCTATAAAACAAAGAAGTAGAAAGTAGATTTCGGAGCACGTGGAATTTTCCCCCTCCCCCTCCCTCCTCCTTCAATATAAGATCAACTGTAATATCAAATATTAAACCCCTCCTGAGGAAGATAGACAGTTTTGAAGCAGCCTCACAGCAACCCGGCGGAAATTGTATGAAAACAACAACTCTGACCTTGGCGCCATGTTGTTTTGACTATCGCGGTGCTCCTTGTCAACAAAGATTCTTGGAGACGGAAGGAGTGGAAGAAGGAAGTGACGATAGATAGGAGGAGCTTCCAGAGAACAAGAACGGAAGTGACGCGCCAGGGCAGAAGAGAATATTGGAGTAAACAGAAGAAGGGCGGAAGTGAGGCGAGCGCCATACTTGTAGGGCGGAAACTGGAATTCCGCCATCTTGAGAAGGGCGGAAGTGAGGCGAACGCCATATTAGAAGGGCGGAAATGGGAATTCCGCCATTTTGAGAAGGGCGGAAGCGAGGGAGTGTATTAAATTGAGGATTTAAATAAAATTCAAATAAAATTTAAAGCCACACGAATAAGCGAAGGAGGGTGACACTAACGGAGATAGAAGGCACTAAAGAAGACTGCAAGACCCAACATACGAAGAAGCGGAGAACGGACGACGGGGGATCAGCCAGGCGGGAAACGTAAGAAGACAAAGACGGACCACCGAGGGACGCGAGAAGACAAGAGTGGGAGGTGACAGAAGAGCAACGAAGAGGATCAGAAAATAATAGAGAAGAAGGGGAAAAAAATAAAAAAAAAATAAATTGAGATTAATTTGGAAAATTTCATAGAACTAATGAATTAAGTATTGATGAATCATCAATTGGTGTTATAATGAATTAAAAAGATTGTATTAATAAGAAATTTATACACAAGCACTAATTACCAATTAACTGCTCCAGCACTGTATTGATAATCCTGAAGGACATATTGATATAGAATATAGCCTTGCACAAATAAACAGAGAAATGGCAACACCAAAAATCAAACAGGATTCAATCTCCAAAGCAAAACAAGAATTAAAAATAGACCAGTCTCTATTACAAAGAAGAAATTCCCAAGGCTCACAAGAAATGAGTATGAAGGACTTGGTAAAAGAAATTCAAAATTTGGCTGCTTCACAGACAAATCTACAGGCTTCATTTGAAAAAGGAATAAAAGATTTGACGGCAAAACAAGAAACACATCATAAGGAGTTACAAAATAAATTTGATGAGTTAAAAATTGAATTAAAAATGAATTAAAGAAAGAGATTAAAGAAGAAATTGGTAGGGTGGACAAAGATTTAATCTCGTTGAAAGACGAGATTAAGGACATAAAGTTGAAGACAAAGGAGAAAGAAAAGGTTCAGAAGTCCATGCAAGAAAAAATGAGTACTTGGGATAGACAAAGACAAAAATTGGAAAGAAATCAAGAATATTTGGAATCAAAGGAGCTGGAGACTCAACTTAGATTAAGAAATTTACAAGAACATCCAAATGAAGACATAAGGCAAATTATATTAGAAATCTTGGCAGTATCATTGAAGAGTTCCTTGGAATCTTTGGAGAAAGAAGTGGATCAGATATTTCGTATTTCAACTAATTATTCACGAAAGAATAAAACACCTAGAGATGTTCTGGTGAAGTTTGTTAGAAAAAGAATTAGGGATGATGTGCTGCAAGCCAACAGCAAGATTCCTCTTCAATTTAAAGGGGAAAAGGTGGTGGTGCTGAAAGAATTCCCTCAGACAACGTTAATGAAGCGAAGACAGTACTTCTTCCTTACAGAGGAATTAAAGAAAAGAAACATCAGATTTAGGTGGATAAAACTGAAGAAAGAAAACCTTCTGACATTAGAGGGTCATGATCTCCGGGTTGGATGGCACGCCTATGTATGGTACGGAAAAGAGAAGATGGAAAGAAACTTTGGTAATCACTTTGTCCGCTCCTCTTTACTTAGAATTTGGGAAAGATATAAAAACCACTTTTACTTAAAAACCCCTCTATGGACTTCACCAATGGAAGCTAAACAGAGAAGGCTATTAGGTTGGACCATTTGGCCCTCATATAAAGAACTTTTAAAACAAGGTACAACCGAACTAAAATCACACGAAGAAATAAAACAAAGCTTTCCAAGAATCACCTGGCTGAATTATTTACAAATAAAAGAACAATATAAGCAAGACATAAAATTAGGATTTCAAACCAAGGAAGAGTTTTGGGATAAAATCCTTAAAACGGAAACAAAATGTATAACAAAACTATATGATAAGCTGTTAGAATGGTCAACGGAGACCGATCTAATAAAAAATTGCATGTTAAAATGGGCAGAGAATTTCAAAAAACCAATACCACTGGCAGACTGGGAAATAATGTGGAACAAAAAACTTAAGATATACCTACGCAACAGACTTAAAAGAAAACTGGATGAAAATGTTTCATAGGTGGTACATGACATCAGTTAAATTAAATCACGTGTATAAAGATGTATCAAAAGCCTGTTGGAAATGTAACGAACATGATGGGAATTTGTTCCATCTTTGGTGGAGCTGTGTGGAGACTCAGAAATACTGGAAAGGTATCCATGAAGAAATTCAACAAATACTTAATAAAAAATTCCCGAGAAAAGCTGAGTACTATCTATTGGGAATTACAGATGGGGATATAAGTTTGGACACAAACGAGGATATTTTATTTATCTACCTAACTACGGCTGCCAGAATCGTATTTGCGCAATTATGGAAGCAGAAAGAAATTCCAGCGAAATTCCAGTGGATAAAGAAGATAAATGAAATTAAGGACATGGATATACTAACTTTTTTATTGAAAAAGAACACCGGCAACCCAATAAAACAGACAAACTGGACAATAATCAAAGAGTACATCGAAAATAGATCGAAGGATTTTTAATTAATCATAGTAGTAATGAAGACACCAATTACTGGACATATAAAGGAGACTGACAAAAAGGAAAGACACGTGCAGAATCAGAAGGAAGCCCTATTTTATTATTATTTTTTCATTATTTTTTTTTATTTTTTTCCTTCCTCTTTCAATTTTTCGCAATTTTTTCTACCTCTTGTACTTTTCCTTACTTTGCTACTCCACATTATCCCCTTTTTAATGGGGTCGTCTGTGCTATTCCAATTTAAAAATTCTTTTTTCACCCACCACGGCGAAGTGCAATGACGGAAGAATTTACGCCAAGAATATATTAACCTCGAATGAATCTTGTCGGTTAGATCTACATAGGCTAATTATACTAGGTATTGGTGATCGAACTCCGGCAGCAAAAATCAGTTTGGAAGAGGGTTTCAAAGGAGATCAGAAAAGTGGCACGATGGAGGTGCTATGGGAAATAAAACTAGAGTTGCAAGAATTAAAGTATAGTGTCTTTTGAGGAAGTTGACTTTCAGATAGCTTTGAGTGGTGGAATTCAACCAAAGAAGGACTAACTCATTTGTAGGAGGATATTGGGATATAAGAGCAGAGAGACCTCAGAGGAGTTGTGTGGGATCTGAGACTGAAAAGAGAGACAGGATAAGGATTTTGTATGCACAGGGCAAAGATAATGTTGTAACATATGAAGTATCATTTGATGTATCATGTAAAGAAAATTTATGTGGTGTTTAAGCTTCAGGATCATACTTCTGCATGGATAGTTTTGAGGGCTAAACAGAAGATTATTCTAGTACACAAGTATTTTAGGAGTGACAGCTCTAACTGGCTTCACCTTGAAGAACACATTGTGTTGTTATTCTAGCAAAGCAACAGCAATATTGCAAAGGTCAAGAAAAGAGGGTAAAGGAGAAGAAAAAGTAATTGCAAAAGTGGCAAATTAGGTTTCTTTTGTCAATTATTTAGGACAGCTGGCTTTTAAGAATTCCTGTGAGACTTTTCTTCACTCCTTGTCCAAGAGAGGTCCATTTTAGAGCAAGCAGTTGGAGTACATTGTTTTTAAGTGGATTGATGCTTATGGTGACTGTAAAATATACTCAAATAGTTTTTAATGGATATCCTTTCTGTTTTCTCTTTCTCCCCCTTTTTTACAGTCACCAGCTTGCTATGGATGTGGAAAATAATATTGAGAAATATCATATTAATTTACAGCCCTTGGAATCAAAAGTGAAAGTGTAAGTGATATAAAGTCTGCTATGTTATGTCTCTTGTATAAATATGGCAGAATCATTGTCCTCAGAGAGATGTTTTATTTGGCTTCTTGTCTTGAATTTATAAATGTCTTCATTCTTGTTTCATGGGCTTAAGATTAACAATATTCTCACAGAAGGATGGTAAAGAGAGCATCCTGAACCTCACTTAAATTCTATGATCTAAAAATTACGAAGAGTGTTGAATGAAGTTTAGGGATATTTCATGATATTTATTTATTTATTTATTTATTTATTTACTTTGCTTATATACCGCAATTCTCAGCCCCAGGGGCGACTCATTGCGGTGTACAACATAGAAAAAACAAGGTGCAAAATACAAGACACAGTATAAAATAATCCACAATTCATCATTATCAAAAAACATCTTCCTCAAAAACATCATCATTACTACAAAAGCCGTCTCATCGTCAAAGCCACAATCCAGTATCATTTTCCGTTGTTCCATTCCTATTGTCATTACCAGTCATTGCACTTCTTATTCAAACGCCTTCTTAAACAGCCAGGTCTTTAATTTCCTGCGGAATATCATCAGGGAGGGCGCTAGTCTGATGTCCACTGGAAGGGTGTTCCACAGCCGAGGAGCCACCACCGAGAAGGTCCTATCTCTCGTCCCCGCCAGCCGTGCCTGTGAAGCAGGCGGGATCGAGAGCAGAGCCTCCCCGGAAGATCTCAAAGTCCTCGTGGGCTCATAGGTCGAGAGGCGGTCAACTAGGTATCTCGGGCCGGTTCTGCTGTGGTTCTGCTGCCAGAATTCTGGAAGATGTTAGCAAATAATCAACACAACCCTAAGTGTGACACAGGTATTGATGAGAGCCCCAGGCTGCATTATGTTTACTGAGGCCAGAGAAAACAAAATGTTTGGAGGATTGCATGGAGTGTGCTGCCAATAAAAGTGATAGCCTATATTAGAGAGGACCTCTGCCTCAAAGGAAGGCAAAGACAAACCTCCTCTGAACAACTTGAAAGCACAAGATAACATATATTTCGGGTCCAGGCTATTTGAAAGACTATTTCCCTTTGTGAGCCCTTTAGAGCTCTAAAATTGTATGGACACTACAGGGTTACCTTCTCAATCATTTTGTGGGAACAAGGGAGAGGATCTTCTTGGTGACTGCTTCCAGACACTGGAACTTCCTCCTAGAAAAAAAAAAACCCTATAAAGGCACACGCACTCACATGTCGTAACTACCTTGAATCCCATGGTAAAATGTGGTATATAAATGGAAATCATCATCATCTTACAGCAGCCATGGAGAGAAGATTATAGAACAGAGTCATAGGAGTCAAGCTAGATTCTAAGGCAGTGTTTCCCAACCTTCCTAATGCCGCGACCCCTTAATACATTTCCTCATGTTGTGGTGACCCCCAACCATACAATTATTTTGCTACTTCATAACTGTAATTTTGCTCTTGTTATTAATTGTAATGTATTATCTGATAAGCAGGATGTATTTCCATTGACTGGACCAAATTTGGCACAAATACTCGATATGCCCAAATTTGAATAGTGGTGGGGTTGGGGGGGGGGGGGGATTGATTGATTTTGTCATTTGGGAGTTGTAGTTGCTGGAATTTATAGTTCACCTACAATCAAAGAGCATTCTGAACTCCAGCAACGATGGAATTGAACCAAACTTGGCACACAAAACTACCATGGCCAACAGAAAACACTGGAAGTGTTTGGTGGGCATTGACCTTGAGTTTGGAGTTGTAGTTCACCTACATCCAGAGAGCACTGTAGACTCAAACAATGATGGATCTGGATCAAACTTGAAATGAATACTCCATACAAGTAACACATTTTTCTTTTATTAATGAGATTAATTCAGAAACACATGCCAGGCTTGCGAATTTTTAGGTTTATTTATTTGTTGTATTTATATCCCACCTATTTCATGGTATGGGACCCAAAGCAGTTCACAAAAATTAAAACACAACTAAAACATGCTTAGTACTAAATTTTAGAAACCACTCAACAAGCCATTCTGTTAAAACCCCCAAATTAAAATAATTTAAAACATATTAAAAGATAGTAAAAAGGATAAAATGCATAACAAACCCATTAAAAGAGACTTCTAGCATAGTAAATTAATAGCGGAGGCCTGCTTATATAAAAAGTTCTTTACTTGCTGGTGGAAAGAGAGTAGACAGGAGGGCATGTATGTCTCCTGAGATTTTAATGGTTCAGCAGGCTTATAGAGGGAGATAGAGTCTTTCAAACAGTACAAGGGTTTACAAGGCTTTAAAAGTCATAACCAGCACTGTGAATTGTGCCCGTAAATGGTCTGTAAGTTGAAGGTGTTGCAACATGGGAGTTATGTGTTCCCAGTCTAATTAAGGCTGAGTTTACTGTCCAATGATCAGTCACAAAAAAGAGATATGATTCAAGTTATGTAGATGTGGAAATAAGAAAGATGCCATGCATCACTTGAGGGAGTGCATTTTCTAATGTCTGTTAAATGTATTCTCTAATTTGATCTACTATAATACCAATACTTAGTAGTAGTAGTAGTAGTAGTATTGATATTATTACCATTATTAGCATTATTCAGGTTTATTCTGCATTAGCCAATTATATTGTCATTGTTATTATTCTCCATGAAGGAAGATCATGTAGACTGAATATAAGAAATGCTATGATAAAGTGATACAATGGTAAAGCAAAGGTAAAGGTTTCCCCTTGGCATTAAGTCTAGTCATGTCTGACTCTGGAGGGTGGGGTTCATCACAATTTCCAAGCCAAATAGCCGGTATTGTCCATAGAGGCCTCCAAGATCATGTGGCCAGCATGACTGCCGTTACTTTCCCATCAAAGTGGTACCTATTTATCTACTCACATTTGCATGTTTTTGAACTGCTAGGTTGGCAGAAACTGGGGCTAACAGCGGGAGCTCACCCCTCTCCCCAGATTCAAACCACCGACCTTTTGGTCAGCAAGTTCAGCAGCTCAGCAGTTTAATCCACTGTGCCACCGAAGATTCCATGATACAGTGGTATATGTGTCATAAATAATTTCCCCTCTGCAAAGAGACAGTAGGAAAATATGCCTAGTTGAAAATGATAATCTAAATATCCTATGGGAATTTAAGGTTCAAACTGACTACCAATTAGAATATAACATGCCAGACCCAACTGTGGCTGAGAAAATGAAAGCTTGGATTAGTGGTGTGGCAATCCCTTGGGTCAGCAGAACTGAAGACAAAGAGAGGGGAAAGGTTATAAAATATTGAGACCTACAAATTAAGATTTAGCACCTCTGGGAAATGAAGACAACCATAATTGCAGCAGTGATAGGTGCTCTGGGAACAATTCCAAATCAGATATCTGAATGAAATCTCCAATACCACAGTTAGAAAAAACAATACTGCTTACCATATTATTCAATGATATCTTACAAATTTCTAGCTTCTTGGTTAGAGTCCCAATCATTGATGACATCTGGTAGACTGGGAATCCAACAATTTTTTTACATTCCATTGTTTTCCCATCCTCAAAGCGGTTCGAACAGATACAGATGAAAATCCACATAAATAACATGTACTAAAGTTATAATATAATTAAAAACTATACATACAACTAAAATAAATTTAAATATATATCAATTTATGTATATCCAATTGAGGAAGACTCCTGCTGATAATTATCTCAAGTTTTATCAGATAATAAGAGCAAGGAGCAGCATGGAGGGCAGTGAACAGCTGCAGGAAAGCAAATTTTCTTGGATAAATTGCATTGGAAGAAGGATTCAGTTTCAATGTCATAGTCTTAATCTGAATTATTTCAGCACAATTGCTGTTTGAATTGTGGAGTACAAAGACCATTTTGGAGTTGCACCATTAGGGTATACAAGATTAATGGAGAATTTAGGATAATTGGATATTCCTGGTTGTTTCTTGTCTGGAGTTCCTCTGTGTTTGAGTTTTGTTCTTTATTTACTGTTATAATAGTTTCTTGTTTCATACAAGAAACAATCAGAAACACCTAATCACCTCTCAACAAAGGATTCTCCCAAGCAGTAACAAGTCACACCTAAAAACTCTCAGGTCATCAAATGCTAATCAAGGCAGCCAGTTGAAACATTCACACCTACCTACAACAGACAAGAGTTCTTTTCCCCACCCTGGACTTCCCCACAGATATATAAACCCAATTTCCTAGTTTCCAACAAACCTCACAACCTCTGAGGATGCCTGCCATAGATACAGGTGAAATGTAAGGAGAGAATGCTTCTAGAACATGGCTATGCAGCCTGAAAAACCTAGAACAACCCATTGATTCCAGTCATGAAAGCCTTTGACAACAAAAAATGTTGTTTATAAAAAAAATTAAAATTCCCCAAAAACATTCTGTAATTTGGTGGGCTAAGAGTGATAAATGGGTTCAACCATTGTAGTCAGTTTCACACCAATAGCTGTAGAAATGAGGGAGAAAAGAGCCCCTGAAGTTTCCCCAATTATAGTAATTA